ACATTGTCGAGTAATTTTAGATAGGAAAAGAACATCTAAGTAATAACATATAATACTTTTTCAAGCTTTTCGTATTATTTTTCAATTTTAAGCCAATTTTAACCTTTTAAATCTTTGGAGATGTTTAAAATGTTAAACTATTTTCCGAAATTTTTCCAAAAATATTCCGAAATATATAAGTTCTGAAATTTTCCGAAAATTCCAAGTTTTCCGAATTGGAATGGATGTGAAATTCCGAAATTTTTTGGAACAGAATTAGAAAGGAATTTTCGCTCAAATTTTTTTTTGGTTTGAAATTAGGGTTCCATGATTCCGATCCATTCCATCCAAAAACGAACCGTAATAGAAAGCAAAAGCAAGGGCGGCAAAGCCAAACCCAGGTACATAACCTCAGAACTGCAAAAGTGCCAAGAACACCAACTAGAACCCAAAGACAGGTCTAGGAACAACATAGCTCAGCACAGAAAAGGTAGAAACAACCAAAATACAATAACCAAAGCCATGATACCCTTAGCTCCTAAACCTCTCCTATTTTCTCTGTATCTTGTGTCTCCCAAATCCCAATTCCCACATCCCCTCAAGTGTTCAAAATTCAATATAAAATTATATCTAAAACAAATTCCAATTTAAAAAAATTTCAATGAAATTTCAGAAACTTAATTACTGGATTCTTGCTGTCGTTAGCAAATTCAATTATGACATGGTTGAATCAAATTCCAAGTGAGAAAAAAGCATCCATGTATTTGAGATATAGTTTGATATTTTTGGGATTTTGATTTGGGTTTTGAACTAGTGTTGAGTATAGTAGAGATTCCTCGGAAAATTGGGAAATGGGAGAGCTGAAGAGAGGGAGGAGAGAAAGGGGAGAGAGATACAGAGAGATACAGAGATAAATGGGTAACGTTAGTTTAGAAAAAAAATAAAACTACAGTTTATGTTAATTTTGATGTGTTATTTTTGAAGTCATTAGATTAGTGTAAGGGTCCAGATGAAGCAAAATGCAGAAGAAGAAAAAAAAAGCGTAAATTCTAAATGCAGAGGCTCATTGCTTAGGTGATAATACATTTTTTTTTTTTCCAGTAAGGCATTATTTTTTTAAATTATTTTTTTTTTTAAAGAGGTGATGTAACATTAGCAAAACAAATATTACAAGCAATCCTCCACGGAAACATCTTAAATGATCTCGGAAGGATTTTCGTATCATGTAGATATTTAGTGTAAGAATATAAAACATAACAAACTAATCTATGGTCAGTATTGATGCAGCCAGCCAGACATTAGTTACATTATGCATAGTGGTAGGCATGGTGTATATGTATAGTCCTTTTCCTTGTATGATACGACAACCTTTCTTCAATGGCCAGAGTCCATATACGTGTGTGTGTTATTTGAGACCACAAGAAATTGAAAATCATACAGTTGTGGAAACCTTTAATTTTTGAAAAAGCCTCCCAGAAATGGGCGGTTGGAGAAAGTGATTTTTGTTTTGGAGTGGAGAAATAATATCAAAAATAAAGCATTTGTCAAATGGATATATGTGCATTGGTTAACGTCGGTTGTCATGAGTTTGAATTTGGGTGTGAATGTCAAAATATGGTTGTTGTTTGTGAAGTTTGATGCAATATTCATAACAAACGGCCCACATATGAAATACATTTTCAACTGAAAGAAATTGTCACCATATGAAATAAATTTTCAACTGCAATATTCATAACAAACGGCCCACATACATATAATATTAAGTGCTCTTAAAATTAATTGAATATATTCTACTATCAAATTATTTATTAAATTACTAATTTACTATAATATAAAATAATTAAAAAGAATATATTGAATTGTTGCATGCAAGCGTCCCATGAGTAGTACAAGCTAAGCACATCCAGAAACAAATAGAAAAATAAAAATAGAAAAAAGACAGAAACATAATCTGGTCATGTGAAAATAAAAAGACTGCTTATGCCTGATTAGGTTTTTAAAAAAAATATCTTTACTTCAGTGTTGTGTTCTTAGGCGGTGAGGCGGACTATAAATCCGGTGAATAGTATGGGAGGTGTCCAGTATCAATATCTAAGGGCTGACAACGGTTTTAGTTTTCTTTTCTGTGGAGAAGTTCTTGAAGTTGAGAGGGCTTGTTTTTAGGGCTGAAAATGGGGTCAACTCAAAACTCAAGTCCACATCTAGGCCTAAGTTTTCTGAGCCTGGGGAGCAAACACTTACAAAGTCTTTGACAATCCTTTAGTTTTCAACGTGGAACAAATGACACGAATGGAAAATGAAACTCCAACAACCTCTTGATTTCACAATTTTGAGCGGTGTGAGTTGAGCCACATTTTATATGGAGAAGAATATGGTGGCTGGTGGGTTAGCTAAATTGAGTGCCTTGTAGCCGGATCTTGACAATATATGCTTCTAACGATCCCACTCCTTCCATTGTTCAGCTTGTATTTAATTGATGTTTTCGGGGTTTCGGACTAGAAGGCGCTTCTTTGCTAAACGCTTTTAAAAGCATTTTTTATTGTCAGAAAACAGGCCATAACATGTTATAACTTATAAGGAGGTGTCTGGTAAGAGATAAGCCACACTAATGAGATATATGAAGGAAGTTGAGGTTCCACTCCAAAATCAATTGGCAATGGGGGGAGTAGCTCAACTCCTTATAAACCCAGGCTAGGTCCCTTAACTTTTCAATGTGGGACAAACACTCTCAACACGCCCCCGCATGTGTGGCGAACTTTCAAGCCTAACACGTGGACAACACATATTGGGTGACGTGGGAGCACGTGTGACCGTTGGGCCCAACACGTGAAGCCTTGCTCTGATACCATGAAGGAAGTTGAGGTTCCACCCCAAAACCAATTGGCAATGGGGGGAGTAGCCCAACTCCTTATAAATCCAAGCTAGGTCCCTTAATTTTCCAATGTGGGACAAACAAACAATTGGTTTTGGGGGGAGTAGCCCAACTCCTTATAAACCCAGGCTTGTTCCCTTAATTTTTCAATGTGGGACAAATACTCTTAACAATATAACCAAACGAAAAAGGTAAGAGTGTGTAAAAAAATAAAAATAAAAAAACATATAGGGCGGTTCGGTTTACTAAAGCACTTGTTTCGGATTTTAGTACAGAGCGTTAAACTAGTTTAGCCGATCGATTTGGATTGCTTATCCGATTTTAAAACAACTAAAAACAAAAACCTAATTAAACGAGACCCATTTTTCAAATTTTGTCAGAAATTACCAACCCTTCCATGCGTACAAAAAATTACAAATAAGAAAAGACCAAAACCTCATATAAGAATTAAAATATCATAATAAAATATATCAATTTCACGTAATCAAAATCTAACATATTACATTGTGCTCATGAAAATGTATAATTTTCACCATACGGTAGACAACACCGCTGAAACAACTAAATCGAATATTAGTTTATAATCTTATTTTGCCAAGATGAGTAACTTTGGGATGTAAAATTTAAGAGCTTGACTTCAATGTGTTTGCAATGTCGATGACAAAACGGTATCTAACATCTGTTTTGATGAGACGCTCCATAGCCGTGTTCACATAATCAACTGGGATAACCTCGACGTTTGCTGTTATGTTGTGTTTACCTGCAAAATCAATCATCTCTTGGGTTTCCTTCATACCTCCAACAACACTACCAGCCACTATCTTCCTTCCTGAAATTACAAAATAACACATTTTTGTTAATGTTGATTATCCACCAATGCAAATCAAAGCACAGGTGATTAGCAAGAATAAAAAATTATTTAAGATAAATGTTGTGCTTTCAAATCCAGTGTCAACATGTAAAGCCAACTTCTCGTAGTTAGGGCTAGTTTGGTATTGCTATGCTTTAAAAAAAAAATTGCTTCTGCTATGTTGTGAGAATAAACAGCTGTGAATAAAAGCAGTTAGGCGTTTGGTAAACTGTATTAGAAAAAGTGTTGTGAAGAGTCAAAGTGTTTGGCAAATTTTTATTAAAATGCTTTTAGTGTATATAATAACCAGAAAGGACATGATGATGAAATTGTCCTTTTTTTTCTTTTTATTTTAATAACAAAAGGAAACCAACTTCACTACATATAATTTTTTTTCTTTTTTTTAACACTTAACACACATATTTTACCATAAATTCTAAATTATCATTGTAATGAAATTTAATAATTAATAATAAGGGTTAAGTAAACAAATATATAAACAAAATAAAATTAAAAAAGAAACAAACCCATCCCACCGTACATCCCCACCCCCATCTCAGGTCTCCTAGTCCCTGCTCTCATCACCAGGCACCCACCCCATCCCCATCCCCATCCCAACACCTCTCTCTCCCTCTCTCTCTCTCTCTCCCTCTCTCTCTCTCTCTCTCTATCGCACGCACTCAACACCAAACCCAGCCGCAAAATTAAAAAGTAAAAAGGACCATATGAACCTGCTACCTTTCTTGGTGACTATGGCTATGGCGCGAGCGGCGTTCTTGACAAAGAGGCTATTGGTTTCGGAGGAAGAGAAGGTGGAGTGGAGAATTTGGACTCGGCGGCGAACCAATTCGAACGAGATTCTATTCTTTCCTAAGGATATGTGTTGTCATTTTAGAAAGTTATTAGGGGGCTTATGGGGAATATGAAATATTCATTAAAGGACCAGTTAATTTTTTTTTAAACAGCTTTGAGAAGCAATTCCTGGCTGCTTTGAGAATCTGCTGTCACTGACCTGAGCTTTTAAAATAAGTCAGCCTTTCTTGGTTTTACCAAACGGGTTGGAACACAAAATTTTTATTAAAAGCTGCTTTCTTATTAATCGCAGCAACCCCAAACGCTAGCTTAATTACAAAAGGCCACTACTAAAAAAACTCACACTACCTACTGATTTTAATTTGTCCCATTTCGTTGATTTTTGAGAGAATAAATTGTCTTCACTTAATAATAGAGACAATTTATCCACCATTATTTTGTCAGTATTCTAGTTTGGTGTGGCTATTGAACAAATACATTATTGAATATCATATGCTTACCCATGAGCAAAGGAAAAACAGGTAGCTCAAGAGGCTTCTCGGGTGCTCCAACCAAAACAAGCTTTCCATTATTCTTCAATAAACCAATCAAAGGCAAGAGAGGGTGGACAGCAGAAACGGTGTCAATGATACCATCCATTGTGCCCATGGCAGCCTACACAATCAACTTAACTCATTACCTTCACAACAATCAAACTAACGATGACCTTAGAGTCGTCAATTTAATGGACCTTATTCAAAGATAATAATCACCTTCATTTGGCCATCGTCGCGGCTGACCAAAAATGAATCAGCACCGAGGTTTTCAATGGCTTCCGATTTCTTATTGGGGGGGG